ACTTGTTTTTGTGCTTCACATTGAAAAAATCAAATGTATATCCAGTGAATATCCTGTTTTACATAAGTTCGTCACATTGCTGAAGGTCAACTGAGTTGCAAACAGTGTTTCTAGCATGTTTATGGTTCAGTTTGGATGCATATTTATTTGCATAAATATAGAACAGAAAGTTTGTCAAACTCCCTAACAGCAGTGAGTCAGTCTGACTAATCTATGGGTTGATGCATGAGTGTACAGTAGATGACCCTCATATCATTCACCGGCGATCACACAAACACGCAGGGTATTGATTTGAATCTCTACAATGCAGACTGATGGAGCATTCGTGTCATCAATCTGCTCTGAAGGCCCGCAGACAGACGAGGAGGAGGATGAAGGACAGAACTAGTGAAAGGACTAGTTGAGATGCTTTATAATGCCTCTCTCTTCTCGTGAAGCCCTTTTCACTATACTCCCAAATCCAATTCAGTTTCTACAACAGCTTAAATTTCATTTTAGGTTTGACGGCTGACTCAGATCTTTAGAAAAAGCCGAGCACACATCATGAAGGGCTCTGTATGTGTGTTCTATAATTCAGCTCCTTGTCCGGTGTGTTGTGCAGTATTGAGTGCTGCATTAATGGAAGCACTGCTGAACCTCTGGCCAACCTCACTGAGAAATATACCATATTACTGTGATTTCACATGGCTGTTATGTGGTATTTTGACATGAATGCACTGTGATGTTTACATGGAGCATCAGGGTACTTGTAAAATCATGTTAGTAGCATGATAAATGCCACACAATCATGGGAAAATTATGGTAATTTGGAAGAATGAAATGAATGCACTGTGATGTATACATGGAGCACCAAGGTGCTTGTAAAATCGTGTTAGTAACATGATAAATTGCATAAAATCATGGGAAAAACATGTTAATTTGAAATAATAAAATAAATGCACCTTGATGTTTACACAGAGCACTGTTAAATCATCCCAGCAGGCACACAACATCTTAAGACGTTAATATTAGGTTAGATTTAGGTTGTGACGTCAGGTGACCAAAATTCAATGTCTAACCAGCATCTAAGTTCAACGTTACTTTGATGTCTAATAAGGATGTCAAATTACGTTGATATTTGGTTGATTTTAGGTTGGACATTGGACATTGATGTCGGCATGACATTGGGTTCTGACGTCAACTTGATTTTCATTTCCAAACAAAATACAACTTCCCCAAGACTTTGGGGTATGTTGGGGTACAACATCAATACCACATAATCTTGGCGTCCTGTGCCTACAGGGGTGGTAAATGCCCTGAAATCATGGGAAAATTATGGTAATTTAAAATAATAAAACAAATGCACTGTGATGTTTATATGGAGCACAAAGGTACTTGTAAAATCATGGTAAAAGCATGGTAAATTCTCTAAAATCATAGTAATGTTAAATAATCAAACTAATGCACAATAATGTTTACATGGAGAACCAAGGTACTTGTAAACCATGGTAATGTCATGGTAAATGCCATGAAATCACGGGAAAATCATGGTAATTTTAAATAATGCAATAAATGCACTGTGCACTTTATATGGCGCACAAAGGTAATTGTAAAATAATGGTAATAATATGGAAAATGCCCTAAAGTCATAGAAAAATCATGGTAATTAAAAAAAAAAAATGTACTGTGATGTTTACTTGGAGTGCCAAGGTACTTGTAAAACTAGTTAATAGCATGGTAAATGCCCTAAAATCATGGGAAAATCATAGTAATTTTAACCTTAATTTTTATGTAATGCAGTTTTAATGAGACTGGTTAAAATATAATAAAAAAAAAGTCCTGAAAATAGTTTTTTTATGAAAACAAATGAGTCACATTTAAAAAAAATAATTTAAATAATTAAAATTAAAATCATTTAAAATGATTTAAAATGATTTTTATATTTTTAAAAACCTTTATTTAGTTATATATTTATGTAACTTTATATACATTTAGTTATATATTATACATATTAGAATATTATATGAATTTAAAATGTGTATAAAAATACTATGTAAAATATAATATTTTTGCATTTTTGCATTTTCATTTAAATAGATATATTGTAGCAGGTGTGTGTGTGTGTGTGTGTGTGTGTGTGTGTGTGTGTGTGTTTTATTAACATTAAAATTAAAGTAAAATATTATTTTAAAAAAAGGTTTCTCATTTCATTTACCTTGAAACTAAAACTAGAATATATTAAAAACAAGATTATTGCTAAAACTACTAGAATTAAATGAGGAAATGTGTATATACAATATTATATGTAAATAAAACTAAAAGCATTGCTTAATGGTAAATCACATCTTCACTGTCATAAAACAAAAATGTACAATCTAGAAATGCACAAAAGTACCCAAAATTAGCTGTAATTAGTAAAATACAAATACAATACTCTTCAGGATACCACCCCATTGACCATTTGTAGCTTTTTTTTTTTTTTTCTTAGCGTTTGGCATTCAGATAAAATAAAGAGTGTAAAGAGCTTTAACATTTACTGAAAGCAAGAAATTGTTTACCGCAGATTAACAAATATCCTCCATACATACTCTAGTATCATGTTGGCTATGCTAGCATGCAGATATCATCCATTGGGTTTCACGTTCCACTTGAGTTTAAGGCGACCTCTAAGAGTCACAGTCACTCATCCATCATGGCTCTGCTAATCCATTAGTTCAGCCACTTAATCGGCAGATATTGAGCCACTACAGCTGCTAATTACCACAGACAATTGCAACGGCCCAATGCGCTCTACCTGATAAATACAAAGAGCTTTCAATATCTGAGAGCCCGTCTTGCATTTCAATGAGATAATTAAATGTTCCTGCAGCCCAAACGGATGCGGCTCAAGTGCACTCAGTAGTGTTTGTAATTGCGGCAAAGTTAGTTTTAAGGGGAACTCAAGGGTATCGTGTTCAGATCTCAGGAGATGAAGTCATGGCACTGTCTTGATTGTCTTCTAGAGAGGTGGTTTGAATGCTGAATTAAAAAAAAAAAGAGCAAATCGAGCTGTTAGCAAAATCTGTGTTTTTCTATTAAAAGCTGGATTTTTTTTAATCCAACTTAATAATTGGTCTTTTGTCTGGACTTTAAATGGGATTTAAATGCTCTGTTTTCAGTTGTCTGTAAATGCAAATCAGATAATGATGTGTGGTTTGTTTAACAGATTGCAGTTATTCAGTTATTATACAAGTAGTGATTTTGGACATATTCACAGTGTTTTAAACTTACTGACTAAAACAGGTTTTTAGACTGGGTTACATGGAAGTATTATTTTGGGAAAAAAGAATAAATAACACCAATCAATCCATCAATTAGTCAATCAATCAACCGACCAATCATTCAATCAACCAACCATTCAAACAATGAATCAACCAACCAGACCAGACCAGACCATTCAACCAACCAATCCATCAAGCCATCAAATAACCAACTGACCGACCGACAGACCAACCAACCGACCAATCAGACCAGACCAGACCGGTCAACCAATCCTTCAACCAACCAACCAGACCAGACCAGTCAACCAATTAATCAACCATTCATTTAAACAATCAACCAGACCAGACTATTCAACCATTCAACCAACAAATCAACCGACCAGACCAGACCAGACCATTCAACCAATCAATCAGAACAGACCAGACCAGACCATTTAATCAATCATTCAACCAACCAGACTAGACCAGACCATTCAACCAACCAATCCATCAAGCCATCCAATAACCAACTGACCGACCGACAGACCAACCAACCGACCAATCAGACCAGACCGGACCAGACCAGACAACCAATCATTCAACCAACCAGCCAGACCTGACCAGACCAGACCGGACTGGACCAAACCAGTCAACCAATCATTCAACCAGCCGACCAGACCAGACCATTCAACCAATCAACCAATCAACCAGAACAGACAAGACCAGACCAGACCATTCAATCAATCATTCAACCAACCAACCGACCGGACCAGACCAGACCAGACCCTTTAACCAATCATTCAACCAACCAACCAACCAATGAACTAGACCAGACCAGATCATTCAACCAACCAACCAGACCAGACCAGACCAGACCAGAGCATTCAACCAACCAACCAGTCAATCAATTAATCAATGAATTAATCGGTCGGTCGGTAAACCAACCAACCAATCAACTAACCAATCAGACCAGAGCAGACCAGACCAACCAGACCAGACCAGACCAGTCAACCAATCATTCAACCAACCAGACCAGACTATTCAACCATTCAATCAACCAACCAGACCAGACCATTCAACCAATCCTTCAACCAACGAACCGACCAACTAACTAACCAAATAGACCAGACCAGACCATTCAACTAATCATTCAACCAACCAACCAGACCAGACCAGAACATTCAACCAATCATTCAACCAACCAGTCAGTCAGTCAATCAATCAATCAATCAATCAATCAATCAATCAATCAACCAATCAATCAATCAATCAATCAATCAATCAGCCAACAAAACAAAACCAACCAACCAGCCAACCAATTATTCAATCAATCAATCAAAATAGGTAGATGCAAATAAACAGTCAACTTAATTACATAAAAAATATTAATAAACTATAATAATATAATAATTACACACTGGATTTTATCATGCAATAATTATAATAAGTATAAAATACTAATTCATAAACCACTACTTTAGAAAAAAAATTAATCCCAAATAAAGAATCTAATTTGTTAAATTATTAGAACTGGTATTATAGATCTAATTTAGTAGTTGTATATACTTATTTGATGCTTAGATATGTTTCAATGCAAATATGAACGAATGATTAATATTAAATTGGAAATATAACACTACATAGGTGATTTTATAGGAGCATGTGTACATAACAACATGTGCAAACCACTCTTACATGTTGTTTCAAATCTGACTAAAGTCAATCAGAGACAAAGCAGAAATGCTGAATTCTGGAGTTCAGTCGTGTGTTTTTGTCCTCCAGCTGCTGCAGGGCAGGTCGATCCCAAAACTGGGCTCTCTGGACCAGATCGAGACGGGCAGCGGAGACGGAAACAGCGGAGACTGTGATGATGAGGACGGATGCTGGGGATCAGGGAATGGAGCAGTCCAGAGGAGAGGGACAGTCACTAAATGTAAGTACTGAGCGCAAATCAATATACGTCAGTGGATGACGAGGTTATAGTTTCCAGTTTGACAAATTGAGACGGAAAACTGCATGCGGGACTGTTTGAGTGCTGGAAAACTGAGGTAAAGCTTGAGCAGTTTTCTGTGTTTTGGCCTTCTGTCCATATTGGGATTGTGCTTTTGTCTTGTGGAAAATGTTTGAAGACACTTCCTTAGGTAAATAGATAAGTTATTTTTTTGTAATGTGTGCTGTACACACATGAATGTAAATGAAAACCTGTGTTTAGTTGTTTAATCATGTGACTTTTCCAAAGTGTAATATAAAAATGGATGATGAGCTTATAGTTTCAAGTTTGGAAATATTGAGATGGATAACTGCTGGCCAGCGAGGGGAATGACTGGGACCGAGTCGGTGACAGTAACCATTGACTTCCATAGTATTTGTTTTCCTACAATATAAGTCAACAGTTACAGTTTTTCAATTTTCTTCAAAATATCTTCTAGTGTTCAACAGAAAAAAAATAAACTCTTAAAAGTTTGAAAACACTTAAGGGTAAGTTAAATGTAATTTTTGGGTGAACTATCCTTTTTAAATGTGAGCAGAGCCTTTTAAACACAGCATATCTTAAGATCGACATAGCCAAGGTCTCACGTAGATGCACCGAATCAATCTCCCCTTCCTAATTGCACCTCTGCAAATCAAACGCTAGTCATTTTTCTCCATTGTACGGCATCTTTTGTCCGTCGTAAGTCAGTGATAACGAGCAGGAAACATGTTTGAATGGAAGGCAGAATTAGATCAGACTCCCATCGACGCTTGATATCAGTGTAATTAAGGGGCGAAATTAAGGTCAAGCGCAGAGAAACATTTTTCCCGACATTTATTCCTCCAACCAATGAATTATGCAATCAAGAATAACGTGGTTGTAAAAAAAAAAGAGCGGAACAAATCAAAGTGGCCATCTGGTAATTACTTCATCTTCCGGAGGGGATTGGATCTCTGACCCGTGGCCCGCTAAATCAAGCTCAAGGGCTGCGTGCGTCTCTCTCCAAACCTCCTCTATCTCCCCGTATGCTCGTCTGATTAATCGGCCCACACTTTGTGTCTGGATTGGGCCGTTTCGGGTCATCTAAACGAGCCGTCGCATCACGGCGGTGTTTCCTTTGCTGCTGTCAATCTGGCACCGGCGCCTCGTGTCCCTCTCATAATTCATGGGACGGTGTGACGATGCGCTCATTTATCATCGTCTCTCCTGGCTCATCCTGTCTGGTTAGAGCTGCGTCACGCTTCACAAACACCTTCAGCTGTCGGTGAGTTACGCAGGTGGGGTTTACAGCGCTCCTGCTTTCTGTTTGCATCCAGATATGGAGACAGAACTACTGAATCTAAAGCAGAACGGAGGCATCGCACATTGCACAAAGCTTCAGAAAAGCCTTTATAACCTTTTCCAGACTGGTAGATCTCAATTATTTTCAGTCTTATTTGAGTATGAATATCTTTGGATGAGCTTTTGGCATGATGTCTTGGTTTTGAGGATCTGGTCTACTTCACTTAATATATATAAATATATATATGGCGAGGCAGTGGCGCAGTGGGTAGCACCTTCGCTTCACAGCAAGAAGGTCGCTGAGTCGCTGGTTCGAACCTCGGCTCAGTTGGTGTTTCTGTGTGGAGTTTGCATGTTCTCCCTGCCTTGGCGTGGGTTTCCTCCGGGTGCTCCGGTTTCCCCCACAGTCCAAAGAATTGGATAGGCTAAATTGTCCGTAGTGGATTAGTGTGTGTGTGGATGTTTCCCAGAGAAGGGTTGTGGCTGGAAGGGCATCCGCTGCATAAAAACTTGCTGGATAAGTTGGTGGTTCATTCTGCTGTGGCAACCCCGGATTAATAAAGGGACTAAGCCGACAAGAAAATGAATGAATGAATATATATATATACAGTAGGTGAGAGTTCAATGTGACCATTACCGCCGGAACTTATACCGCCACCATTTTAAATTGCTGCCACTCTGTT